CTATTCGTGATTTTCTGTACTTTGCGCACCGTAAAAAAAAAACAAAACAAAGAAAACATTTTCATCACGTCTGCACTCTTATCGGTCACAAATATATTAAAAAAAAAAAACTGGTGCAGCAACACACTTTTCGAACACTGGCAGTCGCTGATCCGCGGAACGTATGTCCAGCCAATGTGTTTCAAGAAAAAAAAAATTGCAATGCGGTCGCCGCGCGATTTTTGCCTGCAAAAACATCACTCCGGATTTGGAACGACCACGTCGCTCGAAATCAAAACCGAGATATCACATCTCGTTCAGCGATCGTGCTTCGTCAATTCCAACGGTTGTTGGTCAGTCCAATGATCTCTCCAAGCGACCGGTGGCGACGACGGTACATCCTGGTCGGAGTCTTGAACGTCGATTTCCTCGTCCTCGTCCTCGTTCTGATCCTCGTAGCGTATCCTGTGCGCCGATCCTGGACGCGGACCAAGACCGGATGATTGCCGCTGATCGTACACGGGACTGGTCGGTCTCGAAAGTCCGGACGAGTCGTCGCCCACGAGTTGACTGATCATCCGGAAGGCGCTAGGTTTCCTTTCCGGTTGCTTCGGTACCGACTCGTGCCTGTCGATCCTCTCGGGTCGGTCGAGGCCGGTGTCCCTGGCTGCGGAATTAGCGACAACCGCGCGGAACGCGCTACTTTCGCCGCCCATGCCGGCGATGGAGCAGCTGGACGTACGCTGGCCGATTTCCATAGCGGACGTAGCGGAATGCGGTTGCTGCGGCTGCGGCTGCGGCTGCGGCGGTGGTGGTGGTGGAGGCGGTGGTGGCGAGGATTTTAAGAGGTTCATGCGTTGGTGACGACGCCACTTTGCCCGTCTGTTGGAAAACCAAACCTAAGAGTCACGAGTTAGGTCGTTAGAACGCTCGTGATCAGGTCGGACAGGAACGACGACGCGGCTGTTGTCCGCAGGGTCTTCTCCAATTTATATGTTAATGTCGAATTAGACCCTGCGTCGTCGCATCGGCTCTTTATCTTTATCTAGTGGTAGAATCTCACCTGAACGCGGGCTTCTGAGAGCGACGTTTTCGAAGCGAGACGTTCGCGCGTGGACACACACGGGTAATGCGATCTCTCGAATTCCTTTTCGAGTTCCTCGAGCTGTTCCGGGCTGAAAGTCGTGCGGTTCCGCCGGAACTTTGGCTGCTCCGAGCCGTCTAAGCTCCCGTCATCGCCGTCGCCATCTGTACATTAATAGAAATACGTTTTCTATGGGCTGTGCGTTTCTCTGTACAACAGCCCAATAATAATAAATATTTTTTATTAATATTTTCTATATTGCTCAACTACCTGATGAAATTGAAAATGTGCTGTGTAACTTCGAAGTAAATACAAAAAATTGAAAATTTATATGTGTATAATAGTTTTTTACATATGTGACTGATATGAAATATATACGAGTATATTCTGATTTTTCTATAGGCAATATAAAATAATACATTTTAAAAGGTTAGCTGTATTTCTCGATACAGAAAATTGATGAATGCCGATTTGATGCAACTATGTATTTGATGCAACAATATATGAATACTGATAAACGTTTAGCAAAAATTGTACGAATATTAATTAAAATCGCCCAAACGTTAATAAAAATTTTCAACAATAAAAAATAAAGAAGAGATTAAAAACTTTCCTAAGTAAAAATAGTATGTTTATTGAAAGTCTATAAGAAATTCGCTCAAGTCTCGAATAGATGTTTCACTGAACTTTAAAAAACGTTTATCGAATTGTCTATGAGACTGAAATTTAAACATGGAATTGTTTACATAAGATGTACACAATTATAAAATGACATAGTTTTAATACATAGTCTCAAACCTTTTCATATAGTTTTCAAGATGTTTGTAAAGTGTTATCAGAAGATTCAGCAAGTGTTTGCATCGTGCTCCTAAACGGTGTAACTATCAATAAAATCTTTTATAAACAGTATAACCATCGACAAAACTCTTCACAGACAGATATGAACACAATCCTTCATTAAAAATTTCGCCATGGAGAATTAAACTACGTCGCTCTTTTTTCTTTCCCACTTTTCCTACTCCTCTTCATTTTCATTCTCTACGATTGATATACGCAAATCTGGGAACCTTATTAATTCATTCATGAATGACTCAATTCGATCATTGGGAAAGAAATAGAAAATCTACTTTTACAGAACTCTAGGTGTAGACGGTATTTCGTCGAATGTAGGATTGTCAATTTCGCGACGTCAAAGGTGTATCTCTTTCGTCACCTTGTAGATATCCACGAGCAATCGCGTCGGCGGCATGAAGTGCATGCTCGGAAGTGCCCGCGGACGCGGACGCGGCTGCGGCCGCGGCGGCGGCCGCACCGGGACTCAGGGACGGTGGCAAAAGCAAAGCAGACGCGGCGGCGCCGGATATACCGGTAGCAAGAGGCGGCAGCATCCACGGGTGTCCAGCTGCTCCCGGCGCCGGCCAGCCCGCCGGCAGATGATGGCTCGTCGTCGGATGCTGGTGCGAATTGAAGTACGGATGCGGCCCAGCGGCTGCGTACAGGCCGTAACCAGCGGCGCGCGCGAATTCCGCGGCCGCGCGTTCCGCCGCGCGGTTCCGCAATATCCGATTGATGCTGCTGACCGACGGCGCGGTCGCGTTACTGCAAACCCCTGAAACAGGTGAACGCCGACGTTGCGATCAACGCGAGTCGCGGAGGTATTGTTAGCTTGGATAATATGTTAGATAATATTTAGCAATCGAATATACGACGAAGATGTTGTTATAAATAGAGTTTTTCGCAGCTCCGTCATCGTCGATGCTGTAAGCAACTTTCGACGCTGATGATCTTTAAAGTGAAATTTTTTTCAATCGCGATCCAATCGTAGACTTTATCCAGCATAAAACTGGCAGCGAGTGCAAAACGTTTGGAATGCTACTGCAATGTTACTAAGACATTGCAAGCACGTGATCTGTTCTGTATAGAGTGCGTTAATATTACGTCAAAACTAAAAGTAATATACATCATTATTACGAAGGAAATACTATTCTTTATGAAAAATACAAAATGCAGGTAATTACAAAAAGATATACAAAATGTTGCTTCGATTTTGTATTTGTATGTCAAATATTTGTATCTCAATAAAACATATCCAATGTATAATATACGTCAACCATGCACGTATTTCCGGACTCTTCTAGAGAGAGAAGTATAGACGGTCTTATTTGTATTGTCAGTTGTTATCTATAAGATTTATAGTTGCAGCAAAAGGTATACTATATATCAAAGTTTACTTATTATAATGATAATCGTGTTAGCACGAATGCTTCGAGAATGGTATGTGTGTCAAGAAGTAAGGTCGCAGAAACGCGTTTCTTAATTCTTTCGTTAAATTATACGTTACTCATACGTGCGTCTGTAATCATGGACGGTGCATTCGCATGGCTTACAGAGGACGAGCATAATTAAGTAAGGAACACGCTAGTTTATGCATCGCGCTAGCACTTGACGTTATGACTAAGCGTGTTCTAAGAGATACACTGCGAAAAATCTTAATCAATGTTAATGCGAGTCAAGTTGATCAATCTTTTAAACGTTTTCGCTTCATAATTATTACGTTATCGTATTCATCGTAAAATAATCGATTTACAAATTATTATCTCCCTTTTTGCAAATAATTTTTTAATGCGATATATGGCTCATACATTTTTCATCTTTTAGAAGTATTAACCTGTAATTGAAATGTATAGGTCTTAATGATTCTATAACATTTTCTTAATTTTTAAATAGTGTAATAATTTGGTATAATTTGGGTTTCGAAATGTTATCTTTCACATTTTTTTTTTATTTCCGTTCACAAAAATTGTTCTAATTATGGTATATTTATGCTAAGTCCAAATGTTGCAATTTTTTATATACATAGTCGTAAATTTAAAAACCTTTTAAACTAATAACAAAAAACTTTAATGGATCTCGAAGATCCATATGTTTCCTTAACATCACAAAAAATGCGCATTCCTGTTAGAAATTAACCATAAATTAATATAAATATTTGGAGCTATACTAAATCATAAATTGCTTGTTTCAACTTCCAAGTTTACTAGTAATGTAAATATTAATTTCGTTATGGTGTTATGTTAGACTCCTATAAACTGCCCCTATTTTCATTTGTGTTATTTTTCCTGAAGGCCAATGTATTTAGAAAACTATTCGCACATAGTACAAAATTCGAAAAATTTCGACTGATGTCATCCGTCTTGCGGGAGTGTGACTTGTGGGAAATATATCCTTCCAATAAGTGTCAATATGGCAGTTATTATCTTACCTTCGGAGATTAGCCTCTCCCGGATTTCCCAAGCAAAGATAGTCGGGTTCTCCCTTTTATATTGTTCAATCTTAGCGACGACAGCCGGTGTCGCTACTTTCGGCTTACTGCCACCGATCAGACCCGGTGGGCGCAACGTACCTGAAACACGATAAAATGGGGCTTCAAGGACACGGTGCATTGGCAAAACTCCTGACCCTCGATAAAATCGCTCGTAAATGGCGCCGCGGCATGACACATTTATATTTTGCCCTATTCGGCAGCTCGGCCATGCCAAAAGAGCTCGCGGAGCTCTCCGTAATTCCCGAAAATCACGCGATGCACGCGCCTTGGGATCCGAATGTATCTTTCACAGGCGTGATTGATGTGAAAAGAGTGATAATTGTAACATTGTGCATTATAATTGGACTGTATATTAAATGTAATTTGTTCCATTCACGTAAGCATTCGATATCGCGTTAGATACTGTTCCATACAAGGCGCATTCGGAATGTCTTACGCCCGTTTCTTACCAACGTAAATTAATTTCAGTCTCGGTTTAACTTACTTCATCTTTTTCTAAAAGTTAGAAAAACATAAAGAGTAAATTGAACTGAGATTATTAAAATGAATTATACATTAGTGGGGAATCGAGTATTAGTCTTTTAAGATATATAAACAACTTTGTAATGTGTATAAGGAACATAAAAAAAGAGGGAAAATATAAATGACAGCATATAATAGTGCAAAAGTCATGGCAATCATCGCAATATAATGCTTAACATCGCGTGCTACCGGCAAATGGATATCATCCTATCTTCGTATATCTGGGTGGATTCATAATGCGGCAATTAGGATGCTTACATAATATATATCGTGATATAAGAAAATTATCTGCACACGTGTAGCCACTGCGCGTTAGCTTGTGATAATTTTTAGTGTTATTATCGCGCGCTTAAGAGTTAAATTGCATGCTTAGAGCAATTAATGTAAGTGCTTCTTATAAAAATCATAGTTTACTGGATAGCCGCTCTTCCTCACTCCCTCTCTCTCTTTTCCTCTCTTTCTCTCTCTTTCTCCCCTCTCGTTCCTCTCTTTTAAACTTATGGGGACATTTATTTTAAATAAAACGTTAAAATATCGGTCACAGGTAAAAAATACGTGTATTTTAAGTCTATCGTTTAGACTCACCGCTGTCATATATTCCATAGAAACCGAAGTTATAATTTGCTACTCGTGGGAAAGACAATGAGCAACGCAGCAGTCAATTAGTCATGAATTAATTAGTACCTACAAGTGAATGCTAAGACGCGCACAGCTCCATAAGCATATATATCATAAGTACGAAAAGGTTATGCACATCATCGATTGCATGTTGTTGATACCGTAAAAGACGTACAAACGATACATTCTAACGAATCAAATTTTAATCAATTAAATATTTTATAATACATAAAATTTTATAATATTATAAAACGTTTCGTACGAAAAATGGATCGTTTTAAAAGTAAATTTTATCATTATTGAATATATATATATATCGTTCTTTCCATGTGCATTATATTAGAAAATTCCTCCTTTCTTTGTCAATGTGTTACGCTATCGCTAATAATATGTATTCAAAGTTGTATACGTTGCGCTTAAGATATACCGCGTGTCCGCCGTTTTTGCCCCGTTTCTCGCGAGCGACACGATATAGAAGCGAAGAAACGAAAGTCACGCTCGCGTGCTAATATCAACGTCAACCATCGGGCGTAAAG